GGGGGGGGGGGGGGGGGGGGGGGGGGGGGGGGGGGGGGGGGGGGGGGGGGGGGGGGTCACGAGAGAACCAACTGCGTCTCCCGTCCACTGCTCCCGAACCACGACAGCTAGTACTGCTGTGCTCGTGCATACCAATATGCATACCAATGTGCATACCAATATCTCCCTCTGTATTCGGGGAGGTAGGCAGCACGACACAGGCTACCCAAGCATGATCCCTTCGACTTCAAGTTGGAATGAACCCCCGCCCTCTCTCTCCCCCCACCCAAATGTCTCAAGGTCGGACGATGGAAAACCCAGAATCCCACCCCCCTCCCCATCCTGTTGCGTCGTCATCGTCGTCGTCATCGTTTACTCACATCCATGCTGTGCATGTATTCCTTCGTAGCTTCACAAACTTTGAGGCGCCTGCCATCTGCAACGCTTCGGACTGGGAATGACCTGTTGGAGCGGCGTCGAAGAAAAACGAACAACAATAAAATGGAATAAAAACGCGGAGCATTGCTTCCTTGGCCTTGTGGGGAATCAGAGCACGGATGTTCCGTTGCGACCAATAGGTGTACCAAGTAGTCAAGTGCTGTAACTGCCACACAAAGAGGAAACGAAAGAGTAGAGACGTGTTCGAGGTCAGACAAAAAACAAAGGGGGAAAAAAAAAAAAAAGGCGTTGTAGAACCTAATACTATCGAAGTTTTTCAATAAGGAACAAGAAAATGTATCGGGCGCAACTTGAGCCAGAAATAAGACGCAGCGCCAGCGCCGGTCAACCGCAGAAACAGCAGCGGCGGACGAAACAACAAGAAAGTTCGGGGCGATGAGTATCTTTCATGCGTAAGAGAGTGAGACCGACGTCCCCGAAAAAACACAACCGTACTCGAGGACGAGAAACAACCTCATGCACTACTCCTGATTCAACAAACTCCTTCTCAATCTGTATCTCACCAGTTGGACAGCAAGGGCCGTGAAAGCTTGGCTCCATCCGTGCGGGACGTTTGCAGCACGTTTACGAAAGGGTTGAGCATGTGACCCTGCCGCGAAAGAAAGCATCGGCATCGTGTGCGAAGGTGCCGACACCAACGACACGTCACCACGCCCAGTTAGGTGGATGATGCAGATGAGCGCACAAATAAAAAAAGAAAAAAAAAAGGGGAAAACGCACTCTTTTCTCTCCAACAGAACAACCAGACGCAAACAAGGGACTTACAAGCTCGAGAACAGCTCTATCTCAATTGGTGGTTGCTCGCGTGGGTAAGCATTTCTCGGCCCACACAGACCCGAAAGCTGGCAAGACAGGCTTCGAACAAGCCTACAAGTGTGGTTGTTACAGCCTTCAGGGTCTCCTGGCGCTCCGACCATCATGGAAGGAGCACGCTGTCGTGATGCAGCGAGAGGTCTGCATTTTGGAAAATTCGTGTATCATCCGTTGGACCAAATTCTCGTTGACCGTGAGGGTTACTTAGCCTTACGCCCTACCTTCTCAACCCCCGCCCCCCCCAGTCGCCCACTGTCTATCTACCCCCCCCCTCCCGCGGAAATTACCCAGTACAGCAGCTGGGGCAAGTAGAGAGAAGATACGGTCGTGGGACGCTTGGGTTGGTTACCATGCAGATCGCCTGGCACAAACTTGGGGTACTTGTGCTAAGGGTGTTGAACTTGGCTCCAGGCTATGAGCCCGTGTTGGAGGCACTTTTTAGTGTCGGTGAGCCGGCAAAAGAATTGAAAGACACCAGGCCCTCAACAAGTACTAGGATTGGGAAGTCCCAGTAATTTGAAAGCATCCCACTTCAAACAATAACAACGAGATAGTCTCGAAAGAGATAAGGAGGGAGACGACAAGGCACAAAGGGTGGAGAAGGAGAGAATGGAAAGGTGCAGTACTGGTGGTGTTGATATTTGGTGTCAATAACGACATGACAAGGTTGGAGTTCAAAAGTATATGTGAAGAAGTAGGATTATATTGCTTCGCACGGGGGGGGGTAGAAAGGGAAGGAAACCACTTTAGAATCACGTTTGGAAGGAGTAAGCGCAGAATGGGAAAGACTGGAAGTAGAGAAGATGTCGGCGTGGGTGAGGAGACTAGGTTGGAGGGTGTGCATAGCAAATAGGATCCAGGAAGTAAGGCGTAGCCCAAGGCTGGCTGAAAACAAAGGGGGGCAGGAGGTTCCAAAGGATCAAAAGGGAAAGCAAGCCAAAGTAGGGGGAGGGGGGAGCAGCGAAAGGATAAGGCAGAAGGGAAGGCGAACGAGGGACAGAAGGAATCCTGAAAGGCACGGGAAAGTAGAAAGTAGGAGTAAGGAAATCAGACTAGGGTCTTGGAATGTATGCGGGTTTGCCACAGATGAGCGTAAAAGACTCGAAATTGCCGAGCAAGCAGCCGAAAAAGACTGGACATAGGCGGAGTCCAAGAGTCGTGGTAGAAGGACGGGGGAGAAATAGGAAAAGAAGTGGGAAGCTACACATGGATAGGTAAAATGAGGAGAGGACAGCAAATCAAGAGGGGAGGGGGGAGTTGGGAAAACAGGTGAATGGATTATTGTAGTGAAAAAGAAGTAAATATGTGTGGCATGAAATGGTGCAGAAGGCCAACGGAGACCTTGCGGGGAACGAAAAGCAGAGGTGGCAAGGGACATACAGTATGTAGATGTCAGCGATATTTCGCTGTGCACTAGCAGCAGTACGATGCTACAGATGCCAGGAGGCTGTGTAGCCTACCTCAGAGGTTCACACTCTGTGCGTCTCCAA